ACGGAGGGAGGGAATGAGGGACTGTCCACACAACACACGGAGGGAGGGAATGAGGGACTGTCCACACAACAGACGGAGGGAGGGAATGAGGGACTGTCCACACAACACACGGAGGGAGGAAATGAGGGACTGTCCACACAACAGACGTGCAGGCTCACCTGCCACCAGCTCCAGCTTCTCGCCGGGGTCGCCCTCTGAGTAGAGCTTAGGGTGGCAGCGGTACCCGATCTGGCTGATGAGGCTGGCGGGCAGGGCCACCAGGTCGCGCCGGATGAGGACACAGGAACGGCTTTCCAGGGGCACGGGCTCTGGTTTCTCTTGCACTGTGGGCACAGAAGGGGTCCAGGGTGAGGGCAGGAGCAGACGGGGTCAGGCACAGCCGAGTCAGGGCTGGGCCTGGCAGACAAAGGGCGGAGGGTCCCACAGCTCTCCAGAGGGTGGGGCTCCAGGGGCCACGGGACGGGGAGCAGGGTCTCCACGGCCACCGGCCCGCGGTGCTGCTCTTGGCCGGCTGCTCCCCGGCCCGTCTCCTCAGAGGGACGGGGACACAGCCCCTCTGCTGTGCTGCCACCTGTGGAGGAGCCCAGTAGGTGTCTGTCAGTGGCCGGAGCGTCAGTCGTCCCGGGACAGGGCAGACAGGGTCTTCTGTGGGTATGTCCCATCTGGAAATGTTTCAGAGAGACCAGCACTGGAGACGGGTGACAACCATCAGAGAACCCCCTGAGCACGCTCAGAACCTACAGTGGAACAGGAAGCAGGTGGCCACCGACAAGGCCCTTTGCTGGCTTGCCTACATTCAGGCCACTCTGCCAGCCAGGTACCCCCAGGCCTCCCCACTCCTGTCCTCCAAGGGTCTCTGTGGCTCTAGTGCTCACAGGAGGTAGAGGACGGGGAGCATGACCTCTCATCTAACATCCATCTACTAAGCAGCAAAGGAGCTCCCAGTCCAGGCGGGCACCAGGCCAGGTGAGGACAGACCACAGAGGGCCTTGCAGGGCAGGACACACACCAGCCCCCAGTCCTTGCTCCAAACCTGCCAGGCCCTCCCAGCTTGGCCCAGCAGCCCCTGCGCCTTGGCAGAGCCTCCTCCCTCCTCCTGGGACACACCTCCACCGCGTCTAGCCCTCTTCACAGCACACCTGAAAGTCTGGGCACAGCAGCCCGGCCCACAGCAGCAGAGGTGCCCCCACTGCTGGGCCCCCAGCTTTGCAAGATCCTAGCCACCCTCTGTGGCACCAGGGCTGTGCACCTGCTTCCCGGGTGGTGGCAGCTGTCAGGAAACCACGCCTGGGCCGTCTCCAGGACACACACCTGGCTGAGCAGGTGGGTCACAGCCGGGTGACGGCTGGTTGTTGAGGCCACTCAGTGGGGCGGGCCTGGCTGGCTTGGGTGGGAGGGCGACCTGTGGGGCGTCCTGACACCTGCACACCCACGGGGTGGGGCCCTTCCTGCAGCTGCAGGGCAGGTAGCTCAGGCACCGAGCCTGCTCGGAGACCCGTGCTTTCGCGTGTGACAGGAAGATGCCTGAGGTTCACACCAAAGCCTGAGGGGCTGAGGATGGAGACGCTGGGTAGTCCGCTGCTGTCAAGCGGACTCGTGTGGTGGGATGACGCTCCCCCACCCAGACCTCCAGGACCTAGAAGGGCCCTGGAGGTGGCCGGTCCACCCCCACCCACCTCGCGCTGGGTCCCCCAGTTCTCCGAGCGGCTCATCAAGGCTGTGAGACGCCCCTGCTCCGTCCCAGGTGATGGCCCAGGGCTCAGGGTTGGGGAGGGGTTTTCTCAAGTCGTCCAGTCGGCTCACAGCAGCCCCACCTGACAGCAGCAGGTCCCGGAGCGTTTCCCAGGCTGGTATCTTTACAGAGCAGACGCCCGCTCTGGGCAGGTTCCGGCCACTGACCTAGGGTTCGCAGCTGCGAGCTGAACCGCTGCACCCCAGCACGTGGCACTCGAGGCTGGGCCCCGGGTCCAGAGGCTGGGGCTGCCCAGGTGAGCACGGCACCCCTGCTCTGCCTTCCCGTCAGGCCTGCGGGGAAGACGCGGGGGGGACAGCTGAGCAGCGGCACCTCACAGCCTGGAATTACCCAGGGGCGCAGGGAACACAGCAAACAACCCGGGTGATATTTTAAAACATAATTGCCGCCCCCTCCCCGCCGGCCGGGAGATTACACATGCAGACGCGCAGCCCTCTGCGGGGCTGGCATTTACAGAGACTGTCACGGGCAGGGAGCCCTCCCAGCGCGTCTGGAGGTTTGACTAAACGACACACTGTGTTCGAGCCCCCCCCCCCGCCCCGACACCCAGAGCTGTCGCACCCAGAACAACCCCAAACCCTGCTATTTCTGCTCTGCTGTGTGCTGGCTGCCGGCTAAAAATACTCCCCACGTCGGAGCTCATCTGGGAAGGTGCTCGCAGCTTCCGCAGCACCCGCCCTCCCTTGGCCCCAGACACAGGGACAGAGCCCAGATGACCCCCTGCACACCACCCAGGTTCACAGCACCCCCAGAGCCGACTCGGTTCTGGGGAGACAGCCCACAACCCTCCCGTCCCTGCTGGTCTTTGGACAGGTCGTGAGGGACCAACGAGTCAGGGCCAGCACCTGACGGCACAGTAGGAGGGCCGCCGGGCAGGCTATGTGCAGGACAGGGGGCCCACTCCTGGGTCCTGGGCACTACCCCACCCCTCAGCCCGACCTGGACCGACTAGCCGCCCCACTGACACTCAGCTTCAGACCGGGACCACCAGCCTGGTCTCCAGGACCGCCGGACTGAAGAAGGAAATCCCACCTCGGGTGATAAGCTCTCACCAAGGAGTGAGTGGCACACACAAGGCAGCAGCTGCGTCATGGTCAGAGGTCACAGCGGCACGATCTGGCCATGGCCCCCAGACCACAGGGCTCAACGCAGGCCCGCAGCAGGTCACCTCGGCCCAGGGCCCCTCTCCGTGGCCCACGACGCTGGGTCTGAGGATGATGCCCATCTGGGCTGCTCCCTGACTGACGCGGCCCCTGCACCACGCGACAGAGGAGCCGGGCTGGAGACCAACGGTCCCTGGCCTTGCATCCTGCACAGTCTTGACCTCCGCGGGGTCACTGACGCGGGATCTGATGCAGGCTCCGGACACTCTCTGAACAAAACACCCGGGGCCACTCCGCCCTCATACGAATCAAGTCTGTTTCCGGCCCAAGGGCATCCAGTGTGTCCAGCCTGGGGGGGACCCTGGGGCCTGGTTTTGGGGGCCACCAAGGTCATGAACCAGCTGGTCTACCCAAGTGACACTACCAGACACAGCAGGGACAGTGCCACCCCCTGGAACAGCCGTCTAGGGGGTCAGGAGCCCTGTTCAGGGGGTGTCCAGGTCATCCTCCAGGTGACACCCCTCCTAGGTGAGTGGCCAGCAGGCGACTGTGTCACCCATACAGCAGCCGAAGGCCCACCGAGGTCAGGCTGCAAGCAGCACCTCCCCATCAAGTCTGTTCCCACAGCAGAAAAAACAAACCCCAGGGTCACAGCCTGGAACCCCACAGACACGTCCGCTCTGCACACACGGGTCACGGGGTCACAGCCTGGAACCCCACGGAGACGTCCGCTCTGCACACACGGGTCACAGGGTCAGAGCTGACTTATGACAATGAAGCAGGTCTTAATTACGAAGGAAAACAGAACCTAAAGCCCAACTTGAGAAACACGCTGAATCACACAACCAGATTTTAGGGTTCACTGCAAAGGTACAGGAGGAGGCCTGGGGGCACAGTGGTTAAGCACACGGCGGTTAACAGAAAGGTCAGTGGTGTGAACCCACCAGCTGCTCTGCTGAGGGAGGTAGGGCAGGTGCTTCCATGAAGACCAGAGCCTTGGAAACCCTGTGGGGTGGTTCCACTCTGTCCTTTAGGGGCGTTGGGAATCGGGATCGACTTGACGACAGTAGGTGAGAAGCTAAAGTGATCAAGGTGTGTGGACAGGTGAACAGGTGGACACAGATCCACGGAGCAGAACAGAAGACCTAGGAAAAGACACAAATATGGCCGACGGATCCTTGATGAAGGCATGTGGACAGTCAATGGAGAAAGGATCATTTTAACAGCTGTCTTTGCAGACCCAGACCAACCAATCCCACAAGGGCTGACATTGTGAGAAAACTTCCAGAGGAAAATGCAGGACAAAGTCCTTGACAGAAAGCTTGGCTGTGACACGAATTGCAAGATTCACAAAAGAAGTAACAGAGAGAGTAGACTTCATCAAAGTTGAAAACTTCTGTTGTGTGAAGGACTTGGCTGGAGGAGGAAGAGCTAGAGCAGGGCAGAAATACCTGCGACCACAAATCTGACAAAGGACTTGTGTCCAAAGCCTGCAGAGGACTCTCAGGACTCAGTCCTGCAGTGCACTCAGGGCTGTCAGTGCAGCCACGGGTCAGTCGGCCTCACTGAGGGCCTTCCCCTTTCTCCTTGACCCTCCATTTCACCAAGCATGACATCCTTCTCCAGGTCCCTGCTGACAACATGACCGAAGCAGGTGAGACCAAGTCTGGCCATTCTCGCCTCCAAGGAGCACTCCGGCTGTACTTCCTCCAGGACGGATTTGTTCATTCTTCTGGCAGTCCATGGTGCTTTCAGCATTCCTGGCCAACGCCACAACTGCAAAGCATCAACTCTTCTTTGGTCTTCCTCATTCACTGTCCAGCTCTCGCATGCATGAGGTGACTGAATACACCATGGCTTGTGTCAGGCGCACCTTAGTCCTCAAAGAGACATCTTTGCTCTTCTGCACTTGAAAGAGGTCTTTCGCGGCAGATGTGCCCAGTGCGATACGATGTCTGACCTTTGACTGCTGCTTCCATGGGTGTTGACTGTTGATCCGAGTAATATGAAGTCCTTGACAATTTCCATCTTTTCTCCATTTATCGTGATGCTGCTTATTGTCCGGTTGAGAGGGTTTTTGTTTTATGTTGCGGTGTAATCCACACTGCAGACTGTTGTCTTTAACCTTCATCAGCAAGTGCTTCAAGCCATCTTCATTTTCAGCAAACAAGGTTGTGCCGTCCACGTATCTCAGGTTGTTAATGAGTCTTCCCTCAACCCTGATGCCATTTTCTTCTTCACATAGTCCAGCTTCTCGGATTATCTGCCCAGTGTAGGCTGAATAAGTGCGGTGAAAGCATACAGCCCTGACACACTCCCTTCCTGATTTTAAACCAGGCAGGATCCCCTTGTTCTGTTCAAAGCACAGCCTCCTGGTCTGTGCACAGGTTCCTCAGGAGCACAGTGAAGTGTTCTGGAATTCCCGTTCTTCTCAATGTTACCCATAGTTCGTTAGGACCCCCACAGC